TAAATTAATTTATAATGACTTTAAAATGATGACAGAAAATTAAAAACATTTATTGTTAAATAAAATACTTTTTTAAATAAATATAAATTATACAAAATTAAATTAAATCAATTTAAAATTAAAATATCTTTTAAATAAATATAAATTACAAACAATTAAAATAAATCAATTTAAAATTTAAAAAAAAATTGTTACACAGAATCAAATTAAATCAATTTTAAATTTAAATAAATTTATTTTTAAAACAAATTTTTTAAATACAATTATTTGTTAAATTAATTTATAACCACTTTAAAATCATTACAGAAAATTAAAAACATTATATAAATATAACTAAATTATACAGAATCAATTTAAAAAATTTACAATTTAAATAAATTTATTTTTTTAAATAAATTATTATAAATGGTTTAGGCTATAGCGACTCCACAATCATTACAGAAAAAAATATACTTATACTAAATAATTACACAGAAACAAAATATAAACTCTAAAATTTAAATAAAATTAATGTTTACATAATTTATTTAAAATGATATAGCCCATAGCGACTTTAAAATAATTACAGAAAAATAATAATTTAATTACAGAAACTACAAAATAAATATAACAAATTAAATTACAGAAACTAAAAAAATAGAAAATACCTCTCTAACAGAAAATATCTCTGCGGCTCTGCGGATATTAAATAAATACAAATAACCTGAAATAATAATTATAATATATAAAAGTTACAAAAAATATAAAAATAACTAAATAATTTAAAATTAAATTAAAAACAAAAATCAAAATGCTTACCTGATTCGGATAAGGTGAAGGAGACGAGAGTGAAATGGGACCAGCAGGTAAAAATTCTCTTATAGATGTTATTTTATTTATTTTTTACTGTTTCATGCCACGTGTCAAATTACTATTGGTTAAAATCGCGGTAATTTGACACGTGGCTACGGGGTCATAAATTTTTTCAACTGCCACCAGTGTCGCTATGGGTTATAGCGACACAGTGTCGCTATAGGTCATAGCGCCACTAATTTTTACTTTAATTTTTTTTATAATTATTAATCAAATGATTTTTTTTCCAAATTTGAATTTATTTTATGAATTTCATATAAATCTATATTTATATATTTATCTTTTCTATTTTTTCTTTATGTTATTTTTTTTTTCCTTTTATTCATTTTAAATTTTAAATTGGGTGGCGCTATGGGCTATAGCGACACAGTATCGCTATAGGCCATAGCGCCACTAATTTTTACTTTAATTTTTTTTTAATTATTAATTAAATGATTTTTTTTCCAGATTTTAATTTATTTTATGAATTTCATATAAATCTATATTTATATATTTATCTTTTCTATTTTTTCTTTATGTTATATATACCTTTTTTTTCTTTTATTCATTTTAAATTTTAAACTGGGTGGCGCTATGGCCTATAGCGACACTGTGTCGCTATAGGTCATATCGCCACTATTTTTTTACGTTTTTTTTATAAAATTATTAACTTAATTAATTTTTTCCACATTTTATTTTATTTTATGACTTTCATATAAATCTATATATATTTATATTTTATATTTTTTCTTTATATGTTTTTTTTTTCTTTTTATCATTTTTAATTTTTAACTGAGTGGCGCTATGGCCTATAGCGCCACTTTTACATATTGGTTTTTTTTAATAAATTATTTACTTAATATTTAACTATTTTTTTAGATTAAAAATGTGGCGCTGTAGGCTATAGCGACTTCATTGGAGTTGTTTAGTGTCACTATAGGCCGTAGCGACTTTATTAATATGGCTTTCATGACTTTCCTGGAGTTACAAAATGACCACGTGTTATTGGTGTTGCTATAGCCTATAGCGACACCGTCGAAAACTGCCCCAAAGGTGTAATTATACTTATAAAACAGCCCTATTTTGGTAAAAAGTTTTTAAAAGTGCCGCACTATGCTCAATCACCCATTAATAGAAGATCGCGTTAATAACATTGAATATTATATTATTGTCTAAAATGATAAATAAGTATAAATTTATGCGAATTTGTCCAAATTTAATCTAATTTTGATAAGAAAATTTGCTTTTAATGAATTTTCGTGGAAAAAAAATCAACTTCTAAAATGAGTGATTTTTAATAAAAAATAAATAAATTAGTTCCCATTGTGTTTTTTTTTTTTACAATTTCTTTTGTTCCAACATATGTGTTTATTTTTTCATTGAGTTATTGTGACACCCTTACTACCCCAACACATATATAAATAAATCTTGTAAATAAACTAAAGAATAAAATATTCAACGTTGGTAAAAAGGTTCCCATAAAACCTTCGTAAATAACCAAAATAATTATTAAAAAAAATGAAATTTAGAAAGTAAAACATGAGAGTTTACAAATTGCTTCCAAAAGAAAAGGTATAACTCTAAATACATATAAAATTTATCCTAGAATTCTATGTCTCGATGTCACAATATCAGAGCACACCCACAACTCAACGATTGACATTCTAGATGTCACTCAAAGCCGGATCTTCCTCACCTAAACCATCCATAAATTGTACGGTGAGAAAAGAAAATATCTATATGAAAAGCACACAAGGAAAAACACAACATAATCTCATCATAACTCCATAACGAAATATTCACAAGCATTTATATATATCATAATTTATCAACCATTCATCATCTTCACATCTCAATCACATCAATCCATCAAAATCCACACAAATCTTACAACTAACCCTATGCCAAGGTCACACCTGTAGCCTCTCTTGCTCGAGGTCATGCCACCCCCGACATAAGCATTAATTGCCTCACACATCCCACCCTATGCCAAGGTCACACCTGTAGCATCTCTTACCCAAGGTCGTGCCACCCTCGACATAAGCATGAGAAATCACACTCTTACACTATGCCAAGGTCACGCCTGCAGCATCTCTTGCTCGAGGTCGTGCCACCCCCGACATAAGCATGAGGAATCACCCATCTCGTACTATGCCAAGGTCACGCCTGAAGCATCTCTTACCTAAGGTCATGCCACCCCTGGTCACAAGTATGAGAGACCAAAATCACATTCACATTCACATTCACATTCACATCCACATCCACATCCACATCCACATCTCAATTCCACATCCACATCCACATCTTAATTCCACAATACATACACAATCCACACAAAATAGTGGTTCACATACCACTCAAGTAATCCACCATGAATCTTCATCTAGATCATCAATTTTACCATATCATGTAATAATAATATTTATAAATTAATATAAAACTAGATTAAATCGCCAATTTAATATAATCTTAACCCAAACAATAAAACTCCCAATTTTTCCAAAACCTAACTCACAGGCACTTTTCTACGATTTCGTTCTCTCTACCAGATCATCAGTTGTACAAACTAATCATATATTCACAATCTTTAACACATACAGAATCTAAAGGGATCATCAATTTCTCAAACAGAATTAATTATAAGATTACCCATAATCCTCCTCTACCCAATTCCCTCATGTAACTTTGCATAAAAATAATCCCCTTTTCCCCTATACCTGGATAAACAGTAGTTGAAACTAAAACAGAGATCTTCTTGGTCTCCTCCTCTGAGTGCCCCTCGGTCTTTAGAGAGTGTAGAAGGAAAAGAAGAGAGCAAAGAAGAAAAGAAATTAGAAAATGAGAGGTGTGCTTTTTGGGAGTGGCAGAGAGCTCAATTTATAGGCATCAGGCTTCGCCGGAATGGCCCGTTCTGGACCCTTAAATCACGACTAAAAATCACATCCAGAACGGGCCGTTCTGGGCCGTTCTGGGGTGCATTTAATACTCACAACGGTCATATTTTGGAACGGCTTGTTCTCACCTCTGGAACGACCCGTTCTCAACTAAGAATCGTAGGCAAATTCAATGGTTTGGAACGGCCCGTTCCCGGCTACCAAAAGTAGGTCTATTTAGTAACTTGGAACGGCCCGTTCCGGGCTACTAAACCACCTTAATTGGGCTCTTGGCCCAGTGAAAATTGGGTTGTTACAGTTATTTTATGTGTTAGTGAAAATTACAGATATTGTTTTTATATTTTCAATTTTATAATTATTAAAAATAAAAAAAATTAAATTATTTAAATTATAACAATAATTAAATAAGAAGTTTTAAAAAAATTTATTTAACTATTTTTAAGCTATTTGTTATATTTTAATTGTTATATATTGTTTGGATTAAAATATAACTAATAACTTAGTATATAATTTATTTAAAAATATATATATAAAATAAATTATATAAAATATTAAGGATAAACACATATCTAAACCAATGATCCAATGAAATTGAACTACATTAAAAGAAATTTTTAAATTGATTCAAACTATTTCCTTGATTCAAATTAAAATTATAAATCAAATTAGTTTGGGTCAAGTTTTTGAGTATAAAATAAATCTATTAAATATTTAAGAGTCTTTCAATGACTTGTTTTATGGTGTTAATTTAACGGGTGTTATTTATTTATTTATTACTTTAAATTTTGTTGAATATGACAAATTTGTAGATTTTGTTGAGTTTAAGATGTTGACACTTAATAATATTAAACAATTTATTAATTGGATGACATAACAACATGTTTTAAAAGTTGTTTAATGTAATTATAATTTTTTTCGTCTTAATAATAAGTTCAATGAAATCAAATCAAGCATGATTGGTATAGAGATTAAAAATGAAAAAAATTGAACCAATCTAAATTAATAAAGTGATTGGGTCAAATAAAATATATCTCAAATTCAATTCGTTCCAATTTACCCCTAAAAAACATGAAGAGTTTCTTTTTGATTTACCTAAACTTGATATTATATGATTAAGATGAAAATGAGTTTTGAAATATAAATCTATCTCGTTTAAATATGGAGAGAATTAAACATGTTGTGCCTAGTTCTATAACAACTTGACAAATTACTACACATTGTATGACATAATTATAAGTCTACAACGCAATGGAATACATAAACATCTATTAGTTTGGAGTTATCATGCAAACAATACTTATATATTTATATAACAATTATATGTACAAGGTATAGAAAATATACAACATTTCATAAACTTTAAAACATAAATCCACTTATAGGGTTACAACAACCCTATACATATATATAATATACCAAATACTTAAGTACTGAAAAACATAAACTTTAGTGTCGATCAAACGTTACAACAGAAATTTAGTGTTTATGTTTGCATGAATATTCATATATTGTTTGCATGATAATCTTAAGCTAATAGATATTTATGTTTTTTTGCTTCATTGTACTATATTGTATGTTGTAAAAATAATTCGAATTATCAAATTCAAATCTTTTAGATATTATTTAAATTTTAAAAGATATTGATTTAGGACATTATTTAGAATTGGAATATATTGCATTTATTTTAGATATTTGTTTTTCCTTTAAAGATACAAGGTCAACAAATAAATAGAGACTTTTGATATGAGAATAATCACCCTAAACTGTTGAGGGGGTCATCGCTTAAAGTAAGAGGGAAGGCCATATGAAGGAGGATTTTTATGTTTCGCCAAAAAAAACTTGTGAATGAAGAATTTTTAAGTTTTGTTAGAAAAACTTGTGAAGAAAGGTTTCCAAGTTTCGTCAAAACCTAGTAAGAGGGGGTTGTTGGGATAAATTTCTTAAGCCAAATAGAAATTTCCCATTAATCAATATTAAGAACCGTTGTCTCATATTATAGAGTTAAGGTCAGTAACATATACCTGTATCCATTGACGTTGATCAAAAGTTGCAGCGGAATATTATTTTGGTGCTCCTCAGCCAAATCACTAGATTTCTTAATGGAACTTGATGTTACTCTTCTGATGGGGAGACAGAGAGACGTGTGTTTCTAATTTGACATATTGGGGACCATGACTATCTTTATGATTTTAAACCAGTTAGGGTTCCCATTAACCCCTAACGGGCCAAATATGGTTTCCACTTATTTGGTCCCATATCAATTTTTTCTGTTAACAGTCTAAAGGTTCATTAAAATTAGATCACTTTTATTGAGCTCAACTAAATGTAAATAACTAATATAAATACTACAAATAATATATGTAGCCCACAATAATTATTAAAAATAAATTTTGTAACATGAGTTTCAAGTTTCATCCATAAAACTTGTGATTGAAGAATTTTTCAAGTTTTATCCACAAAACTCGAAGAAAGAATTTTTGGATATATTTGTAATATGATAAATAATGAACATCCCTGTAGACGTATGCATGAAAGACCAAAGCTCATGATCCATGGAACTTGGTGACATATCACTTGAGTATTAAATATTGACATATGACAATTCAAATACCTAATAAACAGGGACAAGAAATACTGTTGAGTAAAAGTGTGATTAAAAATGATTGTGACAAGCATTCATGACAACAAATCAAATCAATAAGATATTGTTTAGATTTTTAAAGATATTGATTTTATTAAGATATTGTTTAGAATTAAAATATGTCATAGAGGGAGAAAAGTTGGTTGAGGAAGTTGCTGTTAAAAAATCAAAGAGCCAACTAGCAAGAGAATTGAAGATGAAATCCAAGGTGTCTAGTACCAAGGATATGCCATATCCCCCAGCCCCAAGCAAAAGGGATAAAGAGAAGCAATTTGCATGCTTCTTGGAGCTTTTTATGAAGCTTCAAATCAACATTCCTTTCTCATAGGCATTAGAACAGATGCCCACTTATGCAAAATTCATGAAAGACCTCTTGACAAAGAAGAGAAAGTTCGTTGAGCAGGAGATTATTGAGTTGGAAGCGGGATGTAGTGCCATAATTCAAAAGAACTTACCTCCCAAGTTCAAGGACCCTAGAAGTTTTACAATTCCAATCACTATTGGGGACCTATCAGTTGGAAGAGCACTGCTAGACTTGGGTGCAAGCATTAACCTCATGCCCTTGTCTATGTCAGATAGAGTTGGCCAGGTGGTAGTAAAATCGACCTGCATGACTTTGCAACCAGCTGACCGGTCTATCAAGTATCCCTATGGTGTAATTGAAAACATGCTCATTAAAGTTGACAAATTCATATTCCCAGCTGATTTTGTGGTTATGGATATGGAAGAAGACTCTGCTATTCCTATTATCTTGGGGAGGCCATTTATGAGACTGCACGAGCAATCATTGATGTAGAGATTGGTGAATTTAAATTGAGGGTCCATGATGAGGTGATCACTTTTAATGTATTTGAAACTATGACCCATCCGAATGATAAAGGTGCTTGTTTCCGAATGGATGTGCTAGATGAGGTAGTGCTTGAGGCTACACAAAAGCTAAAAAAATCATCTTCTCTTGAATGTGTGTTAACTGATACTATGGATGAACTCAATGAGGAGGATGTGATTGAAATATCTGAATGCTTGAAGCACCTAAATACTTTCAAGGAGATGCCACCTAGTGATGCCAACCATGAGGAGTTAAAAGGTGACAACACACTAGTGAGCACTAAGCCAGAGTTGAAGATACTTCCAATTCACCTCAAATATGTCTTTTTGGAGCCAAATGGTGAAAAACCAATCATCATTAGTAACTTCCTGTCTCAATTTGAAGAAGAAAAATTGATTAAAGTCTTACAGGTGCATAAGGAAGCTATAGGGTGGTCCATTTCTGACTTTAAAGGCATCAGTCTAGCTTACTGCATGCACAAAATAAACATGGAGAGTGATTACAGGTCAGTAGCTCAGCCTCAAAGAAGACTAAATCCCATTATGAAGGAGGAGGTGAGAAAAGAGGTTCTAAAGCTCTTGGAAGCTGGGATGATATATCCAATTTCAGACAGTAAGTGGGTGAGCCCCGTACAAGTCGTGCCAAAGAAAGGAGGAATGACTGTGATCACCAATGAGAAGAATGAGTTAATCCCAACAAGAACAGTAACAGGCTGGAGAATGTGCATAGACTACTGGAAGTTAAATCAAGCCACTAGGAAAGACCACTTTCCTCTTCTTTTTTATGGATCAGATGTTGGAGCGACTAGCCGGTCAAGCGTACTACTGTTTCTTAGATGGGTACTCAGGGTACAACCAAATTGCGGTTAATCCCGAGGATCAAGAAAAAACTGCCTTCACATGCCCATTCGGGGTGTTTGCTTACAGAAGAATGCCCTTTGGTCTTTGCAATGCACCAGCTACCTTCCAGAGATGCATGCTGACAATTTTTGCTGATTTGGTGGAGAAATGTATTGAAGTCTTCATGGATGACTTCTCTGTTTTTGGGTCTTCATATGATGTATGCCTGGAGAATCTTGAGCTAGTTTTGAAGAAGTGCATTGATACCAACTTAGTTCTGAATTGGGAGAAGTTCCACTTTATGGTTCAAGAAGGTATTGTTCTTGGCCATAAAATTTCAGCTAGAGGAATAGAAGTGGACAAGGCCAAGGTTGATGTGATTGAGAAATTGCCTCCCCCAATTAATGTTAAGGGTGTTCGTAGCTTCCTTGGGCACGCAGGTTTTTACAGGAGGTTCATCAAGGACTTTTCTAAGATCGCCAAACCTTTGTGCACCTTATTGAACAAGGACCAACCCTTTCTCTTTGATGAAGAGTGCATGAAAGCATTTTTGACCTTGAAAATTTCACTTGTTATACTAACTAAGCTACCAAAAAGCAACAAGAGTTTGATTTGCTACAGTAAATAATGTAAACAAGCAATAACAATTCTTTTTGGTATTTTGGTAAACACTTAGAGTGCAAAACTTGATTCTAATGCAATATTAATAAATTATTGGGGTTTGACTTCACTAAACCTTCCTCTCATGTTTATCACTAAGTTCACAATAGTTATCTATTGGATGCCTCAGCTGGAGGTAGTATGCGTTTTAAAACACCGGAGGAGGCTATAGAGTTGATTGATGCAATGGCAGCAAATGATTTTGATCTACCAGCTGAAAGGGAGTCAAGACAGAAAAGAGGAATCCTAGAGTTGGGATCTCAAGATACTTTATTAGCTCAAAATAAGCTCTTGTCCCAGCAAATTGAGGCTCTTACCAAGCAAGTTGCTCGGATTCCACAAAAACTACAATCCACTCAACATCAAGTTCTAAGTTGTGATCTTTGTGGGTTGAATCATCCTCACGGACAGACAGTCTAAATTAGAAGAAACATTGAATCAGTTCATGCAAGTCTCAATCTCTAACCACAAGAGTACTGAAGCATCTATAAAGAATTTGGAGATTCAAGTGGGGCAGCTGGCCAAACAATTGGCTGAAAATTATGGTGGAAAGTTTTCAGCCAAAACACATACTAATCCAAAGGATAATTATAATGCAATTACAACAAGAAGTGGTAAGAGAGTGGGTGTTTTGGAGGACGAGGAAGAGTAGCATGAAAAAGAGGCAAAAGTGAGAGAGGGAAGTGGAGAAAATAATGAAAAAAACAAAAAAGGTGAAAATGTAAAAGAGAATGTCATAGAGGGAGAAAAGTTGGTTGAGGAAGTTGCTGTTAAAAAATCAAAGAGCCAACTAGCAAGAGAATTGAAGATGAAATCCAAGGTGTCTAGTACCAAGGATATGCCATATCCCCCAGCCCCAAGCAAAAGGGATAAAGAGAAGCAATTTGCATGCTTCTTGGAGCTTTTTATGAAGCTTCAAATCAACATTCCTTTCTCATAGGCATTAGAACAGATGCCCACTTATGCAAAATTCATGAAAGACCTCTTGACAAAGAAGAGAAAGTTCGTTGAGCAGGAGATTATTGAGTTGGAAGCGGGATGTAGTGCCATAAAAAATATAAAAAAAGGATGAAACTGGAACGACCCGTTCTGAAACCGGAACGGGTCATTCTGGTTGCACTTTTGGTGTGTTAATTTCGTACCTGGAACGGGCCGTTCGGTTGTAAAATTAACGCACCAAAAGTGCAACCAGAACGGCCCGTTCCGGTTTCAGAACGGGCCGTTCTGGGTCCAGGTGTTTTCAAAAAAATTGTCATCCACGTGGCATCCACGTATGTATCTAAGTGGCATCCACGTGACCAAAAGTTAACTCCGTTTAAATAATTTGGATGAAAGTCCCACATTGAAACCAATTAATTAATTTGGGACTAAATTGAAACCAATTAATTAGTTTGGGACCAAATTGAAACCAAAAATAAAAGTGGGACTAAATTGAAACAAATAATTAATATAAGGGACCAAAATAGGGTTTTAGCCTAAAATATATTATATTTATTTCCTCTTTTAAGATTACGATATAATGTTAATAATAGATATTTTTAAGATAAGAAGAATCATTCAATTTATAGAAAGGGTTTTATAAGTTTTGCTAGAAAATTTGTGAATGAGAGTTTTTAAGTTTCGTTACAAAACTTGTGAAGAAGAGTTTTTAAGTTTTGTCAAAAAATTTATAAAGGAGATTTTCAAGTTTTACCTATAAAACTTGTGAGGGAGAGATTTTAAAGTTTTATTCATAAAACTTGTGAGAAAGGATTTTCAAGTTTCACTTACAAAACTTGAAGAGAGAATTTTTAAATATATTTATAATATGATAAATAATGAACATCTTGTAGACGTAGGTGTGAGGGATCAAACTATGTTAAATAAATTTGTATCATTTTTATTTATTTTATGATGTTATTTGAATGCGTTCATTATTGTGCATAATTTTTTTTTTTTGTAATGTAGGAGTCAAACCATGTTAAATAAATTTGTAACATTTTAAATTTTTTTAATGATATTATTTTAATATATTTCTCATTATTATTGTGTAAAAAAGGAATTTTTTTTATTCCCAACATTATATTAAGTGTAGTGATCAACCGAATTTACACATTCAATTATCATTTCTATTGATTATCATTTCTATTTATAGCTGATTTTTTTTTAGTGAAATCTATAATTTTGCTGACCTGTGTGATAAAGTGAAAAATCCAATAGAAGAACATTTCTATATCTTTATTTTACCTTTTTCAGGATTCCTTTATTTTAACTTGTGGGAATGAGACATTTTGTATGTATTTTATTTAAATAAAAATTAAAAAATATGAGAGAAAGTACAATTCCAATCACTATTGGGGACCTATCAGTTGGAAGAGCACTGCTAGACTTGGGTGCAAGCATTAACCTCATGCCCTTGTCTATGTCAGATAGAGTTGGCCAGGTGGTAGTAAAATCGACCTGCATGACTTTGCAACCAGCTGACCGGTCTATCAAGTATCCCTATGGTGTAATTGAAAACATGCTCATTAAAGTTGACAAATTCATATTCCCAGCTGATTTTGTGGTTATGGATATGGAAGAAGACTCTGCTATTCCTATTATCTTGGGGAGGCCATTTATGAGACTGCACGAGCAATCATTGATGTAGAGATTGGTGAATTTAAATTGAGGGTCCATGATGAGGTGATCACTTTTAATGTATTTGAAACTATGACCCATCCGAATGATAAAGGTGCTTGTTTCCGAATGGATGTGCTAGATGAGGTAGTGCTTGAGGCTACACAAAAGCTAAAAAAATCATCTTCTCTTGAATGTGTGTTAACTGATACTATGGATGAACTCGATGAGGAGGATGTGATTGAAATGTCTGAATGCTTGAAGCACCTAAATACTTTCAAGGAGATGCCACCTAGTGATGCCAACCATGAGGAGTTAAAAGGTGACAGCACACTAGTGAGCACTAAGCCAGAGTTGAAGATACTTCCAATTCACCTCAAATATGTCTTTTTGGAGCCAAATGGTGAAAAACCAATCATCATTAGTAACTCCCTGTCTCAATTGGAAGAAGAAAAATTGATTAAAGTTTTGCAGGTGCATAAGGAAGCTATAGGGTGGTCCATTTCTGACCTTAAAGGCATCAGTCCAGCTTACTACATGCACAAAATAAACATGGAGAGTGATTACAGGCCAGTAGCTCAACCTCAAAGAAGACTAAATACCATTATGAAGGAGGAGGTGAGAAAAGAGGTTCTAAAGCTCTTGGAAGCTAGGATGATATATCCAATTTCAGACAGTGAGTGGGTGAGCCCCGTACAAATCGTGCCAAAGAAAGGAGGAATGACTGTGATTACCAATGAGAAGAACGAGTTGATCCCAACAAGAACAGTAACAGGCTGGAGAATGTGCATAGACTACCAGAAGTTAAATCAAGCCACTAGGAAAGACCATTTTCCTCTTCCTTTTATGGATCAGATGTTAGAGCGACTAGCCGGTCAAGCGTACTACTGTTTCTTAGATGGGTACTCAGGGTACAACCAAATTGCGGTTAATCCTGAGGATCAAGAAAAAACTTCCTTCACATGCCCATTCGAGGTGTTTGCTTACAGAAGAATGCCCTTTTGTCTTTGCAATGCACCAGCTACCTTCCAGAGATGCATGCTGGCAATTTTTGCTGATTTGGTGGAGAAATGTATTGAAGTCTTCATGGATGACTTCTCTGTTTTTGGGTCTTCATATGATGTATGCCTGGAGAATCTTGAGCTAGTTTTGAAGAGGTGCATTGATACCAACTTAGTTCTGAATTGGGAGAAGTGCCACTTTATGGTTCAAGAAGGTATTGTTCTTGGCCATAAAATTTCAGCTAGAGGAATAGAAGTGGACAAGGCCAAGGTTGATGTGATTGAGAAATTGCCTCCCCCAATTAATGTTAAGGGTGTTCGTAGCTTCCTTGGGCACGCCAGTTTTTACAGGAGGTTCATCAAGGACTTTTCTAAGATCGCCAAACCTTTGTGCACCTTATTGAACAAGGACCAACCCTTTCTCTTTGATGAATAGTACATGAAAGCATTTTTTACCATGAAGAACAAACTCACCACAGCCCCTGTGATTGTTGCTCCAGATTGGAGTGATGACTTTGAGTTGATGTGTGATGCCAGCGACTATGCTGTTGGAGCTGTCTTGGGTCAGCGGAGGAATAAGGTGTTTCACTCTATTTATTATGCTAGTAAAGTGTTGAATGGAGCACAACTAAATTATGCAACCACAGAGAAAGAGCTGCTAGCCATTGTGTATGCCTTGGAGAAATTTCGAGCTTATCTTATTGGATCCAAGGTCATTGTATACACCGACCACGCAGCCATTAAATACCTGCTCACCAAAGTTGAATCAAAACCTCAACTAATCCGTTGGGTCTTGCTACTGCAAGAATTCAACTTGAAGATAAAGGATAAGAAAGGTTCTGAGAATTTAGTGGCTGATCACCTCTCAAGATTAGTCAATGAAGAAGTTACTTGCAAGGAGGGTGAAATCAAGGATGAGTTTCCGGATGAAGCTTTGTTGTTAGTGCAAGAACGTCCATGGTTTGCTGACATGGCGAAGAAGTTTTACAATTCCAATCACTATTGGGGACCTATCAGTTGGAAGAGCACTGCTAGACTTGGGTGCAAGCATTAACCTCATGCCCTTGTCTATGTCAGATAGAGTTGGCCAGGTGGTAGTAAAATCGACCTGCATGACTTTGCAACCAGCTGACCGGTCTATCAAGTATCCCTATGGTGTAATTGAAAACATGCTCATTAAAGTTGACAAATTCATATTCCCAGCTGATTTTGTGGTTATGGATATGGAAGAAGACTCTGCTATTCCTATTATCTTGGGGAGGCCATTTATGAGACTGCACGAGCAATCATTGATGTAGAGATTGGTGAATTTAAATTGAGGGTCCAAAGTAAAGAATATTTTATTCACAGTTCTGGAACGGGCCATTCTGAAACCAGAACGGTCCGTTCTGATTTCATAACGGCCCGTTTTGAAAGAAGAACGGCCGTTCTGATTTCAGAACGGCCCGTTCTGCTTCACTGTGGTGTGTTAATTTTGCAACCAGAACGGCCCGTTCCGGTTTCAGAACGGGCCGTTCTGGGTCCAGGTGTTTTCAAAAAAATTCTCATTCACGTGGATGCCACGTATGCATCTACGTGGCGTCCACGTGGCCAAAAGTTAACACCGTTAAAGCAATTTGGACGGAAAGTCCCACATTGAAACCAATTAATTAATTTAGGACTAAATTGAAACCAATTAATTAATTTGGGACCAAATTGAGACCAAAAATTAATGAGAGACTAAATTGAAACAAAAAAAGATTATAAGGGACCAAAATAGGGTTTTAACCAAAGAAAAAGTTAAGAATCTTAAGATGAAAGTGCTGGTTAATTATGATAAAAATGATAAAATGTCCTATTTAAATGTGTTCATAAAAAAAAGAAATAAGTTTTATTAATAATGTAGCTTTTGAATAAAAATAATTCAGACTAAGCTAATTTCAGACAATCAAATATATTTAAATCACATACCTGATAATCTTAAACATGACGTGGTTGAATCAATTAATCATAAAATTTTGTAAACATACACTTTGTCGCATGGTTAATTGGCTATTCCTTCTAAATTTATATATTGGAGAAAAAATATTAATTTTATATGAATTAAAAAATTAGTTAATATATATATATATTTTTGATTTCATATAAAATATATTACATATTTTCTAAAATATTCTTAATCATATTTATTGTATATAATGTTATCATTATTTTCTTAAAAGTATTTTTAGATTAAAAAAATTAAATAAAATTATTTATATCTAAGTTAAAAAAAAAATCTTCCTGAGAAATAGTGCATGATAAAGGAAAAAATACAAAATCAGAATATGATGAATTAAGAAAATTAGGAATGAAGGAGAGACACAAAAAATTGAAAAAGCAAGAGCAAAAGAAATAAGAAAAACGGGAAAACAAACATCAAGATTTTACCCTACCTCGCTTGTGCTATGCTCCAAGTCCAGTCGCAAAAATATCTATTCACAAAATTAAATTATCTGAAAAAAAAAAAAATACACGATCCCAGTTAGTTATTAGCGAAAATATCTATTCACAAACTCAGATTATTTTAAAAAAGATAAAAATTCATCCCAAAAAATGAGAATAGATAAGATATTAATCATATTCATAGGTTTATAATTTTTTCTTTTAAAATCCGGTTAATTTGACTTATTTGATAAAAAATCAGATTTAAAATTTTTAAAAAATTATTTATTTTAAAAAATTAATTTTAAATTTATAAAAAATTTGTTAAACCTCATAAACAACCAATTTATCTATAAGATATAATTAAAAAATAATATACATACTATATTTTAATAATATAATTAAATAAATAAATTTATTATAAAAATTAAATTATCAAGACATTTTAATCAAACTTAATTGCATGTGTGTATGAAATTGCAAATAAAAATTTTAACATTCACATTTCTTTTTTCTTTTATCTTTATATTTGATTATTTAAATATATTTTGAATAAGATATAAAAAATTATTAAAAAGCTTTTTTTTTGGATAAAATATTTTTCTTTCATCACAATATGTGTATGAATGTATTTTAATGTGCATCATATACATAAGTTGTTTCTTTTACTTTAGTTTTTATTTTATTTTAAAATTAAATTTAATAATAATAATAAATGAACATATTCAAAAATAAGTTTGTTCAGTTATTTGAAATTAAATTCATTAACTTATTTAATATTATTAATGTAAAACAAAATTTTAAATAAATTAATAGATAATGTTAAATTTTAAAATTTTAATTATAAAATATAAATTAGACCTATTTTCATTTCTAATAGCAGCGCAGCACTGCGAAGAAAACGACAGAAGAGTGAGTCGTTTCGTATAAACTGGGTTGTGGGCTAATCCAAAAAATACGAGGGAAACGAAAAGGCTTCTTAACTCTCGTTGCGCAGAGCGAGTGCAAGACACGCTCCTCAAGGCTCAAAAACTGAGAACGTGTCCGAAACGGAGGGCTTCGTGGCGCGTGGGGATTTCCTTCCCGAGAATCGCAGGGGTTGGTACTAACGTGCACCCAGAGGGTGGCCCGCTCTTAACGTGCGCACTAACACATTATGAAGTGTGTTGAAAGGGTTAACCTATATTCCCCCCCTTGGCCTTCCCGTTTGGTTTTCGTCGCAAAGAAGGGTTTTCATTTTCGCTTTCGCTCTCTCTCACTGCTCTCACTTCGTTTCGTCACTACTCTCGTTCATCATCCATGGCTGAGCACCGCGCCGCCTCCGACACTCGCCACCACCTCTCCGTCGCACCGCCATTGCAGATCTCCAAAGGTTTTCTGCCTCTCCATTTCTAATTTAAATTTAAATCTCACGATTTTCGTTTCTCTTAACTCTGATTTTTTTTTTCTCCTTCGTGTTTCAATATTTTTTTAGATTCTCTTCAGTTATGGTTTATCACTTGCTTCTCTAAACCCTAGCTTCTCTGAGTCTGTTGTTTTTTCTTTCCTCTGTGAACAGCGGAAATGCACTTTGTTTCCGTGGTCGGGTTTAGGGTTTTGTTATGCTTTGTTTTGGGTAACGGAACGGTTTGATTGGTTTATGAACATAAGTGACATTCGGGAAGTCATTTGTACTGAGGGGTTTGCGTACCGCATTCTGCTCATTTCTGCACTATCTTTGAAGTTAGTTTGCTTTTGATTTTTTATTTTTCGGTTGTGCCGTTGTGGGGGTTTTATGCATAAGTAAGCCTAGCCGTGTTTTGAAATTAGACTTTTTTTTTTTGAAGATACTTATTAGAATATGCTATTCAGGTTTTGTTTCGAGGGGTATTGGTTTCGGCTAAAACCTGAAAAAAAATGATATTTTTGAGTTAATCCCCTTCTACCTCTCGTTTTTTATACATGAGTAAAAATGATTTCAAATTTGGGGTACTTTCACGTGATGTTGTGTTGCTTGATATACTGTCTGATGTTTTGCTCCTATTTTAGCACGAGTGAGTTTGTTTTTTTGTTTTGAAGTCTAAGTAAATGCAAATATTATTAGTTTTTCTTCTGTGTTTTACATGCCATCTGTTTACTTTCTATTTTGGAACTAACATTGATGACTTTGGGGAATTATTTGAGATTGGTTAAAATCTTCAATCTCTTTTCGATAAGTTAAGTTTCTATCCCTTTTATGCAGATGTCCAAGGATCTGACATTCCCATTCCGCTCTCACCACAGTGGCTTCTGCCAAAGCCTGGGGAGAGTAAAGCTGGAACAGGATCTGTGGTTTGTGCTAACTACTTCTGCATTTTTTTTTGCATGCTTATAATGTTATAGAACTTTTCTGCAAATTGGACTTAGCTGCACCATGACATTCCAGAAATAATATTTAATTTCTTAAGTTTTGTGCATTTTCCTTTTTTCATGTCTCAGGAGAACCACATGGTCACAAATCCACCTTATGGCCATCGTGCAGAGACTGTCAAGACATCTGGAAATGGAGAGGATGTGCATGATGCTCACAAGAAAAAGGATGTCTTTAGGCCATCCATGTTTGACTCAGAAAGTGGACGTCGTGACCGCTGGCGTGATGAGGAGAGAGACACTAAGTCTTCCGTACGGAAGGATCGTTGGAGGGATGGGGACAAAGACCTAGGCGATTCTCGCAGAGTGGATCGATGGACAGATAATATGCCTGCAAGGAACTTTGTGGAACCACGCCGTGGTACTCCTGATAATCATAGATGGAATGATTCAGGAAACCGAGAAACTAACTTTGATCAGCGGCGTGAGAGTAAGTGGAACACACGCTGGGGTCCTGATGACAAGGAGCCAGAAGGCGTTCGGGAAAAATGGAGTGACTCCGGAAAAGATGGTGATATACATTTGGAGAAAGGTTTGTCCCACATTTCGAATCATGGAAAGGATGAGAAGGAGGGAGATCATTATCGGCCATGGAGGCCTAACTACTCACAAAGCCGTGGAAGGGTAGACCCTTCCCATACAACGCCAAACAAGCCAGTCTCTACATTTTCCTATGGGCGTGGCCGTGGGGAGAATACACCCCCAGTGTCTAGTCTTGGACATGGTCGGGCTGGTTCTTTTGGTAGCTCTTTGAGCAACACATACCCTGGAACTGCATTGGACAAAGTCGAAAGTGGGCATGAAGAACCTTGCCCCTTTAGATATAATAGGACAAAATTGCTTGATGTGTACAGAGTGACTGGTATGGGTACAAATAGAAAACTAGTTGATGATTTTGTGCAGGTACCTAATCTTACTCAGGATGAACCGTTGGAGCCTCTAGCTCTTTTGGCCCCTAATTCTGAGGAACTGGTAATTTGTGTCTTTGTTTTGTTTTTTAATTACTTAACGCAATCGTCTTTTCTAGTGGTTTAGTGTATTGCTTTTCTGTTTGAACAGACTGTCTTTAAGGGTATTGACAAAGGGGAGATAATTAGCAGCAGTGCACCTCAGGTGCCAAAAGATGGAAGGAGCTCAACAGATTTTACTCATACAAGGCGAATGAAGCCTGGAAGTGCACCTTTCCAAGGTACATTTAGGATATATACTAAATAGGTTTGGGTGCTGGATAACTTTTGGAACTATATATATTTTTTAAACTGTCTTTTGATAATTATAGAGACTATAAGGTATTGACTCTTCAAAATTTGGTTGTATGAGTTGTTCTGAAGCTTCTTAATATAAAATAAAAACACGAAGTTATGGCTCCCAAATTAATATGAGAAATACATGATATTAGGGCATCCTCCAACAGGTTAAAAGTGAAGATATGGCTAATGGCAAAATTAAATGAAACCCCAAGTGATCAACCCCCCTAATTTTTTTATTCCATTTCTCTTGTGTAAATTACGTTAAATATCAAATATTATTTGCTTTCCTCTTTTAACTTAAGTGTGTCGTTACCCTGCTTATCTGAAATATATTTTGTGAACAGATAGAGGTGAAGATGGAGGTTCTTACAAAATACCTGATGAGGTGTCCAGTAACAGAGATTCATCCTTCGAAGGAAATAGTTCTGCTCATCCTGGTGCTCCATGGCGAACAATGCCGTTGGTGGAACATGCTACCACCCCGTTTCATGATAATAGAGACGTAACTAGTGAAGTTAGATTAAGAAAAACAGATCTAAGCTCACACCAACCAAAAGATCCTCATAACCAGTGGGGAAATAATTTGGGTTATTTATCTGACTCCAAAGAAGTTGGAAAGTGGCAAGCTAGTGAGGATCCTCTTATTAAGAGGCAGTTATCTGGCATTTTGGACAGTGAACTTGAAGCCAGGAGAGTTCCACAGATTGCCCCAGAGGAATTATCCCTTTTCTATAAAGATCCTAAGGGTTTAATCCAAGGTCCATTTAAAGGAATTGATATTATTGGATGGTTTGAGGCTGGATATTTTGGTATAGATTTACCTGTTCGTCTGGAAAATTCAGCGGCTGACTCACCATGGTTGTCTCTTGGTGATGTCATGCCCCATTTACGGGCTAAAGCCCGACCACCACCTGGGTTTTCTGCACCAAAACCGAATGACTTTACAGATATTCCTGGCCGGCCAATTCCCAGTACATTTGGGAATACTCTTGCTGGTTTGAATGAGGTTGACATATTGAGAAATGATTCTAGGCTTAGACAGAATTCTGATACCGAAGCTGAAAATAGGTTTCTGGAGTCACTCATGTCTGGTAACAAGAACAGTCCTCCCCTTGACAGCCTGACATTTTCAGAAGGTTCCTACCTTTTATTATTAGTAATTTCCTCCTTTTTTTGTTGATAATTTAGATATGAATGCCTTTTTATGCATCGTTATTGACACCCTCCCCCCTCCCTCTTTTCATTTTCCTATACTGTACTGGTCTTTGTTATGTTTTAGGTTTGGCATTGATTTTGATGTATTCATTTCAGGTTTACAAGGGTTTGTTGGAAATAATCCTGGTAGTATGGGCCAATCAGGAGTTGATAGTGGAAATAATCTTTACTTGCTTGCTAAGAGGATGGCTCTTGAACGACAGAGGTCCTTACCCAATCCTTACCCATATTGGCCAGGGCATGAACCAACTTCCTTTGCTCCAAAATCGGATGGTGTCCCAGATGCATCATTGCATTCAAAACTGTTGTCGTCTGTGAGTGATAACTCCCGTCAACCTCAGTCCCAAAATTCTGAGTTAATGTCAATCATCCAAGGATTGTCCGAAAGGGCATCTGCAGGCTTAAATAATGGTGCTCCTGGATGGCCAAATTATCCCTTACAAGGTGCATTGGATCCCCTACAGAATAAAATTGACTTACTTCATGATCAGAATTTTCCTCAAATGCCGTTTGGAATTCAACAACAAAGGCTACCAACACAAAACCAATTGTCTTTAAGCAATTTACTGGCTCAAGCTGCTGATAATCCATCTAACGCTTTGACAGCGGAGAAGCTTCTTTCTTCAGGATTAACACAAGATCCACAAATTTTAAATATGTTGCAACAGCAATATTTGTTGCAACTGCATTCTCAAGCAGCTGCTCAAGCACAGATTGATAAACTCCTGTTGCTGAAACAGCAACAGAAGCAGGAGGAGCAGCAGCAGCTACTGCGACAACAGCAACAACTGCTTTCTCAAGTGTTGCAAGATCAACAGACTAGCCAGCTTTTTAGCAATTCATCTTATGGACAGTTGCAAGGTGGATTAACCATGGGGAATTTGCGTGTGGATCCTTCTCAAATTCAATCAAAACAAGAGATCTATCCCATGAGCTCTCAGGCACCAATTCCTGGTATGCATAATGAGCATAGTTCTAATTCTTTGAATTTACCTCTGAAAGTTAGTCAAGACACGAGTTCTAACGTAAGCAGTGAAGCTTCTATACATCTGCCACACCAATTATTTGGTGAAACTGGTCGTCCAGAAAGTTGGGGCCCTAATCTTACTGAACAAGTGAATGAACAGTATCAGAAGGAAATGCTCCCCACATCAACTGTTGTTGAGAGTTCTTCATTGCTTGATCAGAACAGATCCAAAGAGGAACAACACATTGTGCTGAAACCTCTCTCTGTTTCTGACTACACTGCTAAGTCAGTGGAGCAGGTACCACCCAGCAATTTTAGGCCTGTTGGTGATGTCATGACCTCAACTTCTAAGTCAGGTGAGGATTCTGGACATATAGAGGTTGTTGCACCTGCTGTTGCCTTGTCTTCAGCTGGATCTATTGGAGTTGAGTTACCACCAGCAAGTGATCATGGTATGGAGGTGAAAATCAAATCAGATAATGTGCATCAAGAGCAGCATGCTGGAAGAGACAGCTCGATATCCGAGCTATCTGTGGGAGATGTACGAAATGTTGAAGCTCATGAACCCAAAAAGGCTTCTGAGAAGAAATCTAAGAAGCAAAAATCAACCAAATCTCAGTCTTCAGATCAATCTAAGGGAGTGCTTAAAACTGTGATTTTGCAGCCATCGAAGCAGTCAGAAGCTGAAATACCAAATTTAAATGAGTTGGGGGAAGTCAACAGGGGCGAATCAGTATATGAAACAAATATTCAACAGACAAGAGTTAAGGGAACTCAGGTTGGAGGTGCTATCCTAGAGGCAGGTGATCACCAACAAGCTAGTGGCTTGCCTGCTGTTGTTACTGAAATCATCTCTGAAACAGTTGATGTGGGTGAGGTGGCCAAGGCAGTTAGTTCTGCTTCGACACAGAAAACTGAAGTATCTGCAGGACGAGCTTGGAAACCTGCTCCAGGTGTCAAACCAAAGTCTTTCTTAGAAATTCAACAAGAAGAACAGAGAAAGGCCAAGACAGAAATGCTTGTATCTGATATTTCTGCTTCTGTCAATTCGATGAGTCTGGTAACACCCTGGGCTGGGGTTGTGGCCAATCCAGACTCTGTGAATGCATCTAGTGAAAGTCACCGAGAAGCAGGCAATACAGAATATCCTGTTAAATCTGAAACTTCTCAAAATCCCAAGAGCAAGAAAAGTCCACTACATGATCTGTTAGCAGAAGAAGTTCTAAAGAAATCTAATGAAATAGATGCTGAGGTTCCAGATAGTATATTGCCCTCACATGTTGTAGCTGTGCATTCAGAACCACTGGATGATGGCAATTTTATCGAGGCAAAAGATACTAAAAGAAGCCGAAAAAAGTCTGGAAAATCAAAGGGTTCGGGAACTAAAGCTTCATTGCCCATTGCGTCTTCTGAGATTCCTATTGCCTCTAGCCCCATTGAGAAGGGTAAAAACTCCCGTTTGGCACAACAGGAGAAAGAAGAATTGCCTGCTATCCCTGTAGGACCTTCTCTTGGAGATTTTGTTCTTTGGAAAGGAGAGCGTGAACCACCAAATCCAACTCCTTCTCCAGCCTGGTCCACTGATTCTGGTAGGGTTCCAAAACCAACTTCATTAAGGGATATTCTGAAGGAGCAGCAGAGAAGAACTTCTGCGATTCCTGTGAGCCCAATGCCTCCCGCTCAGAAATCTCAGCCTACCAGTACCCAGTCTACAAGAAGTAGTGCTTCTTCATGGTCAATTTCAGCATCCTCTCCTTCTAAAGCCGCCTCTCCAATTCAGATAAATTCCCAAGCTTCACAATCAAAATACAAAGGGGACGATGACTTGTTTTGGGGTCCAATAGAGCAATCTAAGCAAGATACTAAGCAGTATGATTTCTATCTCTTGTGTGTTTAGATATGCTCATTTGATTTTGACTATTTTACTCTAAAACTTCTGTACTAAAACTTTTTTTCTGAATTTTTGTTTATGAGCCTTCTTTGAAGGAAAAATAACCTAGTTCTAGCACAAATTTTTGTTTTGACAAGTTTGTTGAAGCATTGTAGTTGTAACTAAACATTTCTTAAATATTATTTTTGGAAGAATGTGAAGATCATTCACTTTCAATACCATTGTTGGAGGATTTGCATTGTGAGTCCCACTATATAGTGTAGCTCCACTCCTATTAGTGGACCCAAATGAAAACTCACCTGGTAATGGTTTTGAAAACGTGTGCTTGTAACATTCCTCTTTCAGGAAATTCTTTGTTTTGGCATGTTATTTATGCATGTATTGTCATTCAACTTCTGTTCTATATGACATCCAATAGTCAGGTAGAGAACAGTAGTATTTATTGGCTAAACCACTGTTATTCAGGATTTTTCTAAACAAGAACTTGTTTTCCTGCTGGTATAATATGCATGTGAATTAATTACTTGTCTTAAACTTGTTTGTTTGGGCTTTTCATATTTTTTGTGAATCTGTCCTCATGCTTTCTTGGTCTTCTTACCTTGTGGGATTGGAGAATGGAGTGTCCCTGTTTTTCTTAGACTACTTTGATCATTTGTTGTGTCTAAAAGCATACTGTTTTGGTGAACAGTTGTTTCTGATTTATTGTTTTTCCTTTTAAGCAGGTCAGATTTCCCTCAGCTTGTGAGCCAAGGTGGCTGGAGTTCGAAAAATGTACCCATGAAAGGTAATTCTCCCGGATTATTGACACGGCAAAAATCAGCGAGTGGCAAACCAACTGAACGATCTATAGCATCATCGCCTGCCTCTTCTCAATCAGTGCTGAAATTGAAAAAAGATGCCATGACAAGGCATTCTGGTAAAAAAATTGATATATTGTATTATTTCTTTGTTCTACCTGTCTAATATAATCTACTGTCTGGATGTTTTGACGATCCTGTAAAATACTGACGAATAATTTGTTAAATTTTCAGAGGCTACGGACTTCAGAGATTGGTGTGAGAATGAGTGTGTTAGGCTTATTGGGACAAATGGTATGTACATCGTTCAGACTTTTGGTTGGAAGGGTTAAACTAGATATTGGTTTTGAATTGAACAGTTAAAATGACACCTCTGCATATATGATATATATCTGCCATCATAGTTATTTTGCTAGAATCTTGCGTTTTTGGTTGAAAGTATTTTATTCTTTAATCAAAATCAAATGTCTTTTAACTCCTTTTTTCTGGGGGTTGGGGGGATTGCAGATACAAGTTTCCTTGAATTTTGCTTGAAGCAATCCAGATCAGAAGCTGAGATGCTTCTTATAGAAAACCTTGGATCATATGATCCAGATCATGAATTCATTGATAAATTCCTCAATTACAAGGAGTTGTTACCATCAGATGTTTTGGACATAGCTTTTCAGAGTAGGAATGATAAGAAAGTTGGTGGACATGGTGCGGCAGGCACAGCTTCTGCTAATGCGGACATGCAGGATGCAGACTACACTGAAGGATCCTCTAAAGGAGGTGGAAAGAAGAAAGGTAAAAAGGGGAAAAAGGTCAGCCCTTCAGTTTTGGGATTTAACGTTGTGAGTAACCGGATCATGATGGGTGAGATCCAGTCTGTAGAAGATTAATGAAGGTTGTCTTGGTAGATGTAAATACATTTTGGTCGGACTTTGTAAATGGTTTTCCCCCGTTTTAGGTGTTTTATGTTCTTTTATACAGAAACACTAGCAGCATTTATTGGATCTGCTTAACCAATTTTGTTGTCTAATGTAGTTGTTTTGACGTTTGATCTCGTTGACAATGGTATAATCTGCCAATCTTACCGTAATTTAATTCGTTTTTCATCATACTCTTTTCGTGTCGCGAATGTGAATGATTTCAATTTTATTAATTTCCATCTCTTGCTCTTGTAATTTTACTTGTTATATTAACAGCTGAAATAGGTTTTGATTAAAATTTTTTAGGGTTGAATGGATCTAGTCCTCGAGCAATCGGGCATAGTTGCTTTTTCATATTTAATGTTAGGTTGGAAATATAAAATTAGATGAAAAGTATCATTGTTGACGTGGCATTTTGAAAATTTCGCTAAATCAACCGGGTTTTGTCAGCTATCGAGTTTGTACTGAAAATGGAATCAGTGGATTTCTTGTCTAGTTTAATTTCATTTTTGGTTATTTGATTCATGTTAGTAAGGGTAATGAGCACCATTGTATCTCAGAACAGATGCGATAATTTCTCTTGAAGACCTTTTTTTGTAGCATTCGTTATAACAGATCCACTAAGCCAATTTTGGCTTTGGTACATTCAATGACATTGCTAGCTTAAATGCATAATAAAATACAATTTATTTACCACTACAAAATAGTTATTCACGCATTACTCAACACATTACTGAAGAGTGAAGACGGGAAAGGCAGTGTTTTGATGTGTACTGTTCTTACACGAGTCCCAGTGGTTGAATGTTGAACAGCACTAGTAAGGATTGCTGTTATTGGCTACTCTCTGGTTGCTTCATTTTTGTTGATCCCTTGATGTGTTCTCCATAACCTGATGATGATGAAAACACGAGTGTTACGAAGCCAATAACAGTAGATAACATTAAATTAATTGAAGGGTATTTATTGAGACCCTGGATCTGATTTTAGAAAGAAAGAAGTACTGAGGATTGTGATTTGAGATTGGTGGAGCAAGGTGCAAATTGAGAGAGCGTAGGGACATCTTGGCAATTTCGGTAACAGCAGCATCTCGGACGGTGGGATCATGAGTGAGCAAGTGGTGGTAAGCCGCATGAAAAGCATGAGACCAGAAACGAGGTAAGGCAGTCTTGGTTTGAGTGTACACATCCCACATGCGTCTCACCACTTTCTCCCTCTCTTCCACTTCCTATTTCACAATCACAATTCCCCAAAACATGAATAATCACTTTTCACTAAATATTTGAATAGAATTCATTAAAAATAGAGTTTTGAGTTTTGACACACCAGCACATCGAAGTCGTGGAGAGTGGTGGAATCGGAGTGAGGGGTGAGGTTAGCGGGTGAGCATTTGAGAGTGAGAGAAGCAGTGAAGATGGAGCAGAGAGCGAGCAGAATAATAGCAGCTAAGACCCATTTTCTCTTTGCGTTTTGGACTCTTTCTTCGCCTTTCATCTTATCTTCAATCATACAACCACTCCGTAACTCACCTAGTTAACTCTCCACAAATATAAATGATGGATGTGGCCCTCTCTACTCAATTATAATGAGGGAGGGAATAGTTTTTTTCTTCTTCTTCTTGTTTTGTATAAGGGAAAAAAAAGATTTAAAATTTATTTTATTTTCCTATCTATACTCTATAGTATATTATTAATAAAATTCGTATTTATTTTTTATGTATACATTTTATAAATCGTTTTATCCTTAAATTTTTAATGTTTATATGATTTCTACATCTTTTAAAAATATTTATACTTTTTTATTATATATTAATTTTTTTCTATCATAATATTTTTTAAGGTAAAATAGAAAAAAAATATGGTTAAGAAAATTAATTATTGTTCACTTTATCAATAATAGTTATCATCTTATTTTGTAATTAATTATATTTTTTTAAGTACATTGTGACCAATTTTGTTTAAAATTATTTTAATTGTTTTTTCTAATTATACATAATCACTTGATCTGCATGTAATAATTTTTATATTATTATTTTTAAATATTTTTATTATTTAATTTATTTATATATGTAATTTATTATAAATTTTAGTAATATATAATAAATATTTAGTTTGTGTAATATAATTATCCATCCCTTTTACCTTAATTTTTTTTTCTCTCTCTTTTTTATTTAAATAAAGAAATGAAAAATGTCTCTTTTTTTATTAGTCTTTTTAATTTTAATTCTAAAACATAAGTAGATATATTTTAGATATTTCACTCAAATGTTTTAAACCACTTCTACTCCGATCCAAATTCTCTCGATATTAAAGAAGAGTTAAACTAATATGAGGAGGAGTTTCCTCTCCCTTCATTCCCGTACTCTTTCCTCTTAGAAATTAAATCAAATTAAATAAGTTAAAAAAATTTCCCTCTCCCTTTCACTTTCTTTTAACCAAATAATTTATAAGTGTAATTATAGTATGATTTTTTAGGAATATTTTTTATTTGTGAAGTATTTACTGTTTTTTTAGTAATTAATATTTATTGAAGAACTTGGCATACTACTTATATATATTTTTAAGTTTTAAATGCATTTTCTAACTTTATAAATGACACTCATTATTTTTTTAATCTAACTCTCTAGTCAGTTTTGTTTTCCAATTTGGTCATGTATAATATTAGAGATATGATCTAATTCATTAAGAAATATAAAAGAGACAAAAATATAAAAAAATTATTTTTATTAGATTGAATTAAATATTTTTTTTTGTAATTATATTATAATATGTAATATTTATTGACTTTATGGATAATTATTTTTGGTCAAGAAATGTGATTAATATTTTTTTATATATATATATATATATATATATGAGGAGGGTTATAATATACCGATGTAATTTTTATTAAATATTATATCGTTCAATAACTTTATATTAAATGCGAATTTTGTAAATTCAATCATCAGATTGAAAGTTCTTTACTCTTAGATCATATATACAAAATTTTATATTAATCCAATATAATTTGTTACTTCATTCTTATAAAACAAAATTGATGTAATATATTTATTTCAAAATATATTAAAATATGAATATTTTGTTTACCTTCAAGTTGTTGTTCAATTTTAATAAAATTTGATATACACATATAAAGTGATATGAACTTTCAATCTAACGGATTTACAAAATTCACATTTAATATAAAGTTATTAAGCGGTGTAATACTTAGTAAAAATTATATCGGTGTTTTTATAACCCTTTTCTATATATGTACATTATGTTGTTATTAATGTTTTGTTTTTATTTATCATATATTGGTAAAATTATCACATACTTTATATTTATTTATTTATAAAAGATAATAAAAATATTTTTTTAGTAACTATTTGAGTAAAAATATATTAATCTATACTTATTTATTTATGTACGAAGAGTTATACCAGTTTAATTAATACTTTTATAAAGAAAAAAATAAAGTTAGAAAAAAAATGAAAATTGGTTCAATTTAACTTGTTGATTTATTAAATCGGATCAAATGTAAATTTTAAACAAAAACCAATTGAATGGTGAGTAAAAAAATTGAAGTTAACATATTGAATGATTTTCTCTTTAAAATGAATCATGCACACAAATATGTATTGATGGTCTGACAAAAGTGATAATAGTGGTAATAATGGAAGTAAAGACAATGATGATAACGATAATAATGATGATGTAACGACCCGCCATGACTGTCACACTACGGAACAACATTACACACTACTGTAATATATACTAAAATAATATAATAAGGTAGCCTACAAAAAAAAATATCCAACTCTAGACACCTCTTGTGCTCTAGCAGCTATCTCCCAGCCTATCCCTACCTTGCTCACATACATCGTATGATCATCGCAGTTCAAACCACATGGAAACATGCAAGGGTAAGCTAGAGACAATAAACAAATTATAATAATTAAATATGCAACACACCAACAATATAATCATCTTCACATCCAACATAGAAGACAACAACATAGAACGGGCGTTCCACTTTTGGAACGGGCCGTTCCGGTAGGTGAGCCTGGAATCCTATAAATAGCGCCCCTCACCTGTCATTTTCACACATCTCTCATTCTCTCTTCCTATTATCTTCTGTTCTCTCTTCTTTCCCTCTTCTTCTCTCTGAAGACCAAGGGGCACTTAAAGGAGGAGACAAAGAGATCCCTGTTTTAGTTCAACTGCTGTTTATCCAGGTACGGGGGAAAAGAGAATTATTTATATGTAGAGTTACATGAGGGAATTGGGTAGAGGAAGAATCCTTAGGATTATGAGTAATTTTATAATTATTTCTGTTTGAATGATTATTGGTCTTATTTGATTTTGTATGTATTTAGGAATATGGATATATGATTAATTGGTAAAAATGATGCTCTGGGAGAGAGAACAAAACTATAGAAAAGTTCCTGTAAGTTAGGTTGTGAAAATTGGATGATTTCCGTTTGGGGAATTGATGATCTCATTAGATTCGGTATGTGTTGAGGATTATAAATGTGCTAATAATTTGTAAGAATGATGATCTAGGAGGGAGAGCGAAATTGTAGAAAAGTGTCTGTGAGCTAGGTTTTGGAACAATTGGGAATTTTACTGTTTATGTTGAAATTATATTAAATTGGTAATTCTGTTGAGTATTATATTAATTTATGAATATTATTGTTATATCAATTGATAAGAATTGATGATTTATATGTGAATTGCTTGAGGTGTATGAAACCCTTATTTTGTTGGACTTATCCGTGGTGTGTATGTGATATGTTATTGAGCTATAAGATGAGATGTGATGAATGTGAATATGATTATGATTGAGGTTCCTCACATCAATGACTAGGGATGGCACGGCCCCTGGGTAAGTGATGCTACAGGGAGGGCGTGACCCTGGCATGATGTGGGATGAGTGAGACAATTAACACGTATCACTTATGTCAGTTGTGGCGTGGCCTTGACATAGTGTTAATTGTAAGAATTGTGTGGATTGTGATGTGATTGTGGTTCTTCACACCTATGACCAGGGGTGAGCACGGCCCGGGATTGTTACATGGGTATCGTGACCTTGGTTAACATGTCGGGGGTGAGCACGACCCTGGGTTAGGGGTAACGTGACCTCGACACAGTGTTATATCAGGGGTGAGCACGGCCTTGGATTGTTACGTGGGTATCGTGACCTTGAATAACATGTCGGGGGTGAGCACGACCCTGGGCTAGATATGCTACAGGGGGATCGTGACCTTGGCACAGTGTTATATCGGGGGTGAGCACGGCCTTGGATTGTTAAATGGGTAACGTGACCTTGGCATAGTGTGAAGTGCAAGATTTGTGATGATTGGTGTGATTGCGAATTATGACGTGATGATAATGTATGATTGATCGAGTTATGATATGTTGAAATGTTTATGAATATTTTAAGTATAGAGTCATAATGAGATGATATGTTGCATTTTCCTTATGTGCTTTATATATAGATGCTTTCTTTTCTCACCGTACAATTTGTGGATGTTTTAGGTGAGGAAGATCCAGCTATGAGTGACATCTAAAGTGTCAACAATTAATTTATGGGTATGCTCTGATATTGTGACATCGGGGCAGAGAATTTCTAGGACATGAATTGTATTTGTATATGGAGTTGAACCTATTATTTTGAAAACATTTTGTAACCTCTTATGTTTTATTTTCCAAGTTTCATTTTCAGAATATTTTGGATATTGAAGAATGTTTCTAAAGGTTTTATGTGAACCCTTTTACCTATGTTGAAAATTTGATTTCCTTAGTTTATCTATATTATTACAATATATGTGTTGGGGTAGTAAGGGTATCACATATTGCACACCTCTCAACAACACATGTTTAAAAGCAACTTACAACATAACAACACTATCATCATCCTCAATAGTGTCAACATACAACAAATAACAACACACAACTCAATCACAACTTCACAACACAACAAATATACAACTCATATCAACATCAGTTAAACACATCAACAGCTTATGCATCGTCACGCATTTCAACTTGGAGATCTCCTATAACATGGGTGAGCAGTTTAAGTGGCTAGGTCCTACCGAACCGACAACAAAGAACCTTTTTGGGGTTGCTAGGTAAATAACAAATTTGGATGCCAATCCACAACACAATAACAATTTCTCAGACTTTGTCACTTAAACAAGGAAGTATAGTACTATGTCAGGATAGAACAATTAGGTTTAGGCCTACCACGACATTAGCTAGCTCAACTAATCCATCTATGGGATTAACCTACCGACTATCCTCCAAATACTACAACCTCCGATACTCGGTTAGGAACTAAGTTTCCGACTTCGTACTTTACTCAAATTGACCGCTTGTAATCGGTATAACTCGACCTTACCCCTATACCGTGGTCGCTTTGTAATCGGTATAGCTCGACCTTGCCCCTATACCGTGGTCACTTTGTACATGTGTGCCTTGACCTTGCCCACACACGAGACCAACTAAGTCCTAGAGGAGAATAACACAACGTCCACTCCAAGGGACAACTTCCCAAGGAGGGTTTTCAACAAATTAGGCTTTCAGAG